GTTTGTCAAGTAAAAATAGCATTGATTATTGTGATTAATTGGCAGCTCTAATTGAGAATGACACATCAAAAAATTTTGAAAATTTTATAGTAGATAGATTTCGATGAATAGAACCAAAATTGTCATAGACTGAAAATTCCTGGATGCTTCCCTATAGGCGGCAGAACAGTTTAATTCTAGAATAGGCTCAACTCTTTTTTTTTTTGTTTATAAGACCTTCATCTGGAAGTTAAAAATGAGAGAAGACAAGTTTTTGAGTGTCACTTACGAAGAAAGATCCCTAAATGTTTCTCTGGGATTTTAACGAAAACTGGATAAGTTTGTCAAATCAAGTGTTTTGATTTCAAATCAAAAGAAATTAGCGGCTGAGACTGTTCTAGTAAAAAATGTTGCTGTTAAAACAGTTTTTGACTAGAATCTGAGGAGAACCCAAGGGAAAAACGACTGATTTAAGTCGCTTTAAAGTCATGCTAAGTCAAGAAAGTCACGAAAATCACCTGTAAAGTAGCATTAATAAAGAATATAAAAAGCTGTGATTTTTTTTCAACCTCCACGATACATTCTCTAAAACATTTCCTTCACATTTTCTTTTCAATGATATCCACATAAAACAGCCGAAGGAAAAAGATACATATATGTTGTAGCCAAAATTGGCATATCATTTTGAGAACTTCAGAACTAACAAAGAAAACCAATAATACAAACATGAATGGAGTTAAGGGTGATGGTGAGAGTGAAGGAGAAGATGTTAAAAGTGAGAGAGCGGAAGTAATGATAGTGGGGGTAAAGGATTCTCAGCGAGGGTTAGTTTTTCAGTAAGATTATGGTGTTATACAATTATTCAGTCTAATTTTATCCTCAACTTCATCACACCTGTTGAGACCTCTCATCTTCACTCAGACCTCGGAGATATGCGAGATCAAAAACGAAAGAGTTGTCAGAGCCAAAACATAAAAACTTATAGGGACTAAACTGGGATTAAGAATAGAAAAACAAAGTTTTTTCTTAAATTTTTCTTGATTTTTAGCAAATTATGTGGTAAATCATATCATTTCTTGACAAAAATTGATCACAATAGGAGTATTTAAGTATTTTTTAAGATTTAAATTAGAAAATTCTAGAATATTTTTTCTGTCCTTATTGTTGTTTTTTTTGTAGCTTTGAAATTCATCAAAAATAATATTCGAATTTTAACTCATGAAAATTAGAATGAGGTGTGGGTGTGAGAGTTCAATTCATTCTACACCCACACTCACACCCCTTAGATTCATTAATACCCTCATGACATCATTAACAATTATTTTCGTTCTTTTTAATTTTATCCAATATGTTTTTCAGAAAAAGATTAGAATTAAATTAATTAGTTAAGAGACATGAAATCAAAAGTTTTGCTAGACCGCCCTTTATTTCATTTGAGTTACAGTTATTAATCAAATCAAAAATAGGATCTAATTTAGTGATAATTGCTTCTAAAATATAATGGATTACTTAGGACATACCAAAAGTAGTGAGAGTGACACTTTAATACCGTATAGTAGGCTTAGAGAAACTGTCTTTCTATACAGTCTGATAGAAGAAAAAAAGCTCTATCTTTCTGTGCTATTTGATCACATACTTCAACTAATATTCTAATAATAGAATTTCAATAAGATCGGTTTTGTCCGCATGTGTCATAGTTCTATGAATGTTAGTAAGTATTTTTTGAATAACTGTTGATAAAAATAAGATCGCGAAGTGTGGTTTTCACCGTTGAAAAGAGGAGATGAAGATGCACCGAATAGTGTATTGTAGGTTTTTCTAATATCGATTTCTGAAGTATTTTTATTTAATTTTCTAACAATCGAAAGAATTTTTTTTATAAAGAAAAAATAAAAAGCATAAAAGTGAGTTTTTTTTCACAGACTTTGTTACAAAATCATATTAAAGACTCGACTGGAATGCATATTATTCATTTCAGTCTTCTGCACTTTGTAAATCTTCGATTAATGGTTCAAATTTATACTTGATAATTGAAAATTCATGTAGGCAACTTACTAGATAAGTTTGTTCTTAAAAAGATCAATGGAGAAGCTTACAAAAAACACATCAGGAAAACCTAGAATATGTGATTCGATGCGTTTTCATCTCCTCTTTCCACTGGTGAAAACCACACTTCTCTTTCTTGTTTTTATCGACAGTTATTTAAAAAATACTGACTCGTACCTTTTAAAATGAGTACTAATACAACCAGCACATATGATAACGAAACACATCTTATTGAAATTCTATCATTAGGATATTAGTTGAAATTTCATCAAATAGCATAGAAAGATAGAGCTTTTTTTCCTCTATCAGACTATATAGAAAGAAAGTTTCTCTATGCCTAATATACGGTATTAAAGTGTCACTCTCACTACTTTTGATATGCCCTAAGTAATTAGTTTACAGATTCGTTTCCTAGTGAAATATTTTGTGCATCAATGTCAAATGTTCCAATCATATACAAAAAGGTTTCGCTTGCCCATTGAGCACCAATATACTTACGATTATTTGAATAGCTGTCCAATAGACTATAAAAAGATCAAAAAGTGTTTAAAAATGTTTCGATTAGATGACATTGCCTGACCAAAGTTAATTATTTCTGTTTGAATATTTATTTTTTATGGCATAATAATTTTTATATTATAAAAATAAATCATTATGCATTAAAAGTGATACAAAAACATATTCTTTTAAGCATATTCAATAATAATGAAAAGAAATGTTAAAAATCTAAACTCTAACAACGACTTTTCCAATATTTTCACCAGTAAAAAGCATTTCATAAGCTCGAGGTAAATTTTCAAATCCATCAACAAAAGTTTCTTGAAATTTAATCGTTCCCTGATCTAACCAAATGGGCATATCTTTAAAAAATTCTTCTTCATTTCGATGAATAAAATCGCCACATACAAAGCCTAAAATTGATAAACCACGATAAATTGTTTTCGCTAAATAATTTGGATAAATATTAATTTTCGACGGATCATCTTCACTATTATTATAAGTACTAATTTGACCACAAATAATAATTTTACCATGTTTTTTAATAATATCAAATACTGCATCAGTGACAAATCCACCTGTATTATCAAAATATTGTGTAATTCCTTCCGGTGCTAATTCTTTTAATCTATTAATCATTTTATCTTTTGTATTATATTCTTTATAATTAATTGCTGCATCAAATCCTAATTCATTGACAATATAATCACATTTTTTTTCTCCGCCAGCAATTCCAATGACTTTTTGAGCGCCTCTAATTTTCTTTGCAATTTGTCCAGCAATTGTTCCAACGGCTCCCGCAGCTCCACTTATCACTAAAACATCTGATGGTTGAGTATTGGCAACTGACAATATTCCATAATAGGCCGTTTGTGAAGGCATTCCCAATACTCCAATTACAGTACTAAAACCAATTTTATCATAAATTGTATTCTTCTCTGTTGATTTTTGAACAATTCTAAATCGTGGTTCTGTGCCATTAGCAAGAATATATCTTTTCCATTCCATTCTTCCTGTAACAATTGTATCAACTGGAATATTTGAATTTTTACTCTCAATAACACGACCTATTAAACCTGATATTTGAACAGAACCAATTGGATTTATATCACCTCCTAATGCTGATTTTTTTAAACCACTACTAAGATAAGGATCGACAGAAACAAATAAGGTTTTTAGTATAAATTCATTATCATTAGTGATAGTTGGCATTGAACATGGTTGTAATTTCCAAGCCGATTTAATTTCATTTTGATCAGAAGGACGAGTCGATAAAACAAATTCTTCATTCTTTAATTCACTATTCATTTTTGATATTATGAATTTAATAAATTAGTCCTGAATTCTTTCTAATAAACTATATATATATTTATCATCTAAAAAAAAACCAACATTTTATCATCAACAGTGTTAAATTTCTTTTTTTCACGAAACGTTTATCTTTTTCACGTGTTTCATAGATAACATAGATATTAAGAATGTTCTAGAGGTTGTTAGATAAAGAACAAGAATAATAGAACTGTGTGTTTTGGATCAAATAATGACAATTATATTTCGCTTTGTATGTTTCATAGATAAGAATCAGAGGTGTACACTGTCCGCGCGCCAATGTCAATTTTATGAACATTTTGGCGACTGCGCCGCGTCCGCCTCACTTTTGGATTTGGCGTCAGGCGGCCGCTTCTAGATCATATTAGCTATTAAAATTTTGAAAAGCAAAGTCAATTTTACTCTCTTTTGACCGCATCCATGTATTTTTTATGTTAAATTAAAAGTCAAAAAATGAAGTAGCATCAACAGAATAATTATTCTTAAGAGTAAACCAAATTTCAGTGTACTATAATGGTAATAGTTTTCAATTGGAACGTTATAGCCTACGCCTTATATATTTTTTCTCATTCTTTCAATAGTCTTTTCGTCATACATACTATAGATATAATATTCGTTTCAATTGTCCGTTTCGCTGATATAGGATATTATTCTATCTCTATTTGCGTAAAGTTTTGTCCGTCCATCTTATCACTCTTGTATTTATCTCTCCTTTGTTATTTCACCAGAAGCGGAGTGGCCGCGCCGCCTTGATTTTTAGGCGCGGTGCACACCTCTGATAAGAATTAAAAACAACAGAAAATGAGCGTATTTAAATTTTAGCTTCATGAATGAAATAAATGTATTTCTACAAAACATGAGATTATCTATACATGTAAAAAAATGATCAAACAAATGTCAAACTCTCATAATAACGTCTCTTATCACATTTGTTTTAGAAGCGACATATCCTTCTGATATTAGCTCTATATGTTCTCATCGAAACATATCTGCAGGAGGAATATTTTATCTTTCAAGAGTAATGTTATGAATCAACGATGAATGATTTCTAAACTTTATATTATGGATAGTCATTAGAAGTGGTTTTAAATCACAATCAACACTTATCATTAACAATCGAAAATCTGTCTAGGATGACTATTACTAGGATTTTTCGGAAAGATTTCAAAAATGCTTTTAAAGTTTCCCCACATTTCATATTTTCAAAAAAGGATGTAAAATGAAAATCGAAGAATGTGACTTTGAGTCCCAAGTTAATCCTTTCCGGCCGAATGTTGCAATTAGGCAACATCGAGTCACTATTTCGTGGATATTTCACCTTAGTGGTAATTTGTAATTCTTTTAACAATGCGATAATTATGTTGACACATTCTATCACATACTCATGCATTCAAAATTAAAGAAAATTTTCATCAATGAAAGGGATGGAAGTGATTAGTAGTTAATATTTTCTTCATAGATCTACTCTCTACTGCTTTGGTTGGACCATTTATTCAATTAATTCGAATAATAAAAAAGGAGTATGTTGCCATTTGACAACATCCGGGCACTAACGGGCAAAAATTTTGAAGAGATCAATTTTTTTCATCTATCGAATTCCGATAATTTGTGATTTTTTAAAATCTATACTTTCAGACTAATCAATAGTTTGTCTGTCTTTTCACCTTTTCTAATCCAGAGCCAAAATATCTAAAAAATTTTCCAAATAGTACAAAATTAATCTATTTTTCCTAGAGAATTCCTAAAATTCAATATAGTTTCAATGCATCCCGTCATAGTCTAGGTCTAAATACCTTAGAGAGCTCTAAAGGCTTTGTGAATTTCCTTGAATTTCAAAAATTTTCTTGGAAAAATAGGTTAATTTTGCACGATTTGGAAAATTTTCTGGATATTCTATGGATATTGTCGCTCTGGATTGGAAAAGGTGAGAAGACAGACAAACTGTGGTTTAGTCCAAAGGTATAGATTTAAAAAAACCACAAAATATCGGAATTTGGTAGATGAAAAAAATATTGATCTCTTCAAAATTTTTGTCTGTTAGTGCCCGGATGTTGCCAAATGGTAACATCAAGTCAATTGATACCAAAGAACTTTTTCGTTCTAGCGACTGCACTTTTAGTACCTCCATGATCAGGAAACTAAAAATAGGTTTGAAAAAAGATTTTGCTAACGATCTTCTGCACTGAGGGTGTGGGTGTGAGTGAGTGTTATTCTATTCTTGACCCATACACACCGATACCAACGCATCCGTACCCACACCCATCAGCCATGAACAAGTACTTGTATTATTGATCAAAAGTGAATCAAATATGTTCTTGCATTCAAAAAGATAGTTTGTTAAACAACATTTATTGGCTATGAAATAGAACAAAAATTACTTTTACAATATTCAATGGTCATCTGAAATGTTTTAAGCCTGTTGTATAGGACGCATTGAGACTAATGCCGTTCCAACAGTAATGGTATTTATGTTCCGTCGAAATATTATTGATTCTTTCAATTTTGTCCAAACTTCAGGCAATGCTCTGAAGCAGACAAAAGGTAATAGAAGAGGAAGAAAATAACGTGTAAAAGAAATGTATAATTGAGATTGCCCAAGTGCATTCTTTGGCAAACCACAAACTCCAGCAAGAGAAATAACTACTGTAGGCAACATAAGGAAAAAATATAATATTGAGATTGACAAAAGTTGAATAGCCATTTTTCGTAATTTACGCCATTGAAAACGTCGATTTAACTGTCTCTTTTGTCGAATAACACGAACAACAAGAAAAATACTAAAGAAAACAATAATAAACGTCATAGAAATGACATTGGCTATTGTGCCGTACATTGTAAGTCCTTGAATTGTTGTAAAACATGGAGTAGTACACCAATTGATCGAATATATAAATAACTGTTGGCAAGGCGGAAAGCAAATCTCGTAAATATAAAAAATAACAGCATAGACTATAATTATAACCAAAGGTAGATAATGAAATAGAAAACGTTTTCTTCGACTTGATACCCATTGATCATGAAAGATCAGGATATGCCGTTCAATTGAAGCCCAAGCCATAATAATACCTGTTGTAGATAAAATACCGATATCCGAAAAGTGCCATGCAAGACATGTAGTAGGAATTTGAGGCCATACATATCCCAAGCGTAGAAAATTGAGATGTATTGGAAATCCAATCATTAAAGCATGGAAATTCACGATTAGAAGAACAATAATAACATGATTGTTCAATGGACGTCGTAGATTTCGATCTACCATGAAATAATAGAGAAGTATAAGAGTACAAAGTATAGATGGTATTAAAAGAATAAGAAGAAGCCAAAATCGAACTGATCGAGGTAAAGAAATTTCAGGAAATAATTCCTGTGGTGATGGACGTGCATATTCATCAGAACTGTATTTCGACGAAAAATTAGTTATATCCATTTGAACAAGGAAAGATCAAGGAAAAGCGAGATGTCGTTCTGTTGAATATCACAATTTATTTTTCAAAAAAAAAAAGAATGACAAGAAGAGAAATCGTATAAGCAGTAATAATTTATGACGTTTTCTTTTTTATTTTAGAAAAACTCGTTAGGATATATATCGTGTTATTTTATTTAGCTTCTCTTTTATGTTTTCTAACCATTCATTAATTATCTCTTTTTCCGTTTGATGTCTTTCTTTGTACTTATCATAATTATAGAGGAAATCATCATTCTATCCAAATGCAGAACATTTTTTTTATTAGTGCTTTATTCACCT